TTTTTCTTTCTGTCTTTTCATTTCTTCTTCTTCCTTCCGTAGGAAATGAAAATAAGATAATTCCTTCCTTCCATCTTTCTTTCATTGCCTATTTGCCCTTTCTGATCTCTTCTTTCTTTCTGGGCATCCCTGAAACTCAAATCTCCCAATCTCACATCTGTCTGATTATCTTCGGAATCAATTTCAAACGCCCCATCCGCCCAGCCCAACCCAAGGAGGAAAGCAACACACCAACAAGAAAACAAGCCTCAGAATTTGGATCCGCTGTGAATACTAGCCTCGATCGAAATTTCAACTTGTCCGAGGGAGGTCAAGTAAGCTCCCGAGCTCCAAACTTAGTTTTTTCACCTTTTATTTTCTCTTGTTTTTTTTTCTTCTTCTTCTTTAAATAAATAATTGCATGATTTCGCATAATGATTCCCGATCTATCGGATTGATGCTAAATGCCAATTATATTAATTATTTCACCGGACACCGACACCGGGATTGATCATTGATCTGCCATCTTTTACACCAGCAGATTTAATTTGCTTACTTTGAGACCTTTGGGTGTTTCTCAATTATGCCTCTGCAATTTCAATTCCTCTCTATCTTTACCTTTTAAGGAAGGTACCTCCATTTCAATAGCTCCATCCATGCCAGAGCCATTTCTAAATTTTATAGTAAGTAAGCAATGCGATTGATGATTGTATTCAAACACTGACCGAGACATGGGAATTCCTCAAGCATTTCTCTTGCTAATCAATCGCTATATGTTTCTTCTTGTGCCAGATTTTATAACGATTGAGTGCCAACTTCTGGTTTCAACTGCATGCAGCCACGGCTTCACATCTCTCTCTAATCCATGGGGGAGTGGGTCGTTGGAGCTTTCATAAACCTTTTCGGCAGCATTGCCATCAACTTTGGAACTAACCTTCTGAAATTGGGGCATAATGAGGTATACTCTATACTCTGTTCCTTTGTGTGTTTGTGTGTGTGTGTGTGTGTGTGTGTGTGTGTTTCTTCTTGTGGAACCATTGTGAAATTGTGATTTGCATAACTATCACTAAACAAATTTATAACCTTCCTTCCTCAATGTTATTGTACCTAGTCTGAAAATGCAAATTTTAGCAGCCTGTGTTCATCTGCAGCAATTTAGATGTTTCTACTCTGACACAAATCATTGAGAGAATGAATACTCTGTTATGACAGCTATATCCCCATATTCATACCATGATGCAAGCGTCGGATTTTTTATTTTCTGTTTTGGCAGAGAGAGAGACATTCAATACTAGAAAGTGAAGGAGCAAGTGGAAAGCTTCCTTTGAAGCCTATTATACACTTTCAGACATGGAGAGTTGGTACAGTCTTGTCTCGCAGTGCTTCATTTGTTCTAAAGGTTTTTCATATTCTATTTCACATGGTGGATTATGGACATCGGACTTAAATATTATATAATTCTTCACATGCAGGCTTTTTATTTTTCGTTCTTGGTAATTGCCTAAATTTCATATCCTTCGGATATGCTGCTCAGGTCAGTACAAACTAAATTTTGTAGCCTTGTCATCTGAAACTGGAAAGTAAGATTAGTACTGATAAGTACTCAGATGAAAACATCTGCTACAAGCTTGGACACTTATCTGAATAAGTTTATTGTTTCTGTTCTTTCTAATTATTTCTTGTATTCTTCTGTGCAGTCACTTCTTGCAGCACTGGGTTCTATTCAGTTTATATCCAACATTGCATTTGCCTACTTTGTGTTAAACAAAATGGTGACTGTTAAGTACGTTAAAATCTGAAGTGAGAATAGATTTTCATAACTGTAACACCATTTATACATCCATTTTGCACATCTTTATCACCTTACTATTTCTAAGTACATCCGTGTATTAAGACAGCCTTCTTTGCAGGGTAATGGTTGCCACAGCCTTTATCGTTCTTGGGAACATTTTTCTTGTTGCTTTTGGCAACCACCAATCACCTGGTACATGATTCATTTTCAAGTCACAATTACTTACAGTTTCATTAGTGTATTGCGTTGTGCCAAATCCCTGAATATCTGATCAATTGTTCTGTATTTTGGTCCTACCTGTGGCAAGAAGCAGCCATCCCAAACTCACACACACACACACCCATACAAGTAGAACAATCTTCCCTGCAAACGTTGTATACAACAGCTGTCTCACATCACATCCAACCCCTCACGTGTTTGTCATGTGATTGGGAGAGGGCTGTAGTATATAAAGGCTGCACAATAAACTTTCTCCACAAACACAAAATATATAGAAAGAAGATGAGCCTGGACCAAGCAATATATTATATCCACAAGTAATGGACTCATATATGTTCGATTTGTTTTATTACAGTATACACACCAGAGCAGCTGGCCGAGAAATACAGCAACATTGCATTCCTTCTTTACTGCCTAATTTTGGTTTTAGTTGTTGCCTTACAGCATTCCATTTACAGGTGAGATTCTGAGAACTAAGTGCTGACTGCTTCATTCTTGTTAGTAGGCCTCCAACACTTTTTTATTTGTTTCATCCAATTTCTGGATATACAGGAGAGGAGAACTTCTGCATGCTGTTTCTGGACAGGATCTAAGACCCTATTGGCATATGCTACTTCCTTTTTCCTATGCTATAGTTTCAGGTGCTGTTGGGTCATTCTCAGTGTTGTTTGCAAAATCTCTGTAAGTTAGCTTGCCAACATATTGTATTCCTTGTGTGACTCAAGTGGTCAAATCATCCAAGCCTTCTGTTTCTAATTCCTCTTTTTTTTGGCAGCTCTAACCTGCTACGTTTGGCCATGTCTAGCAGTTATCAGTTACATAGCTGGTTCACATACTCCATGCTCCTTTTATTTCTAAGTACAGCTGGATTTTGGGTATCAGTTATTGCAGAGCCAACTTTAAATTTCATGGTTTGCAAATTGCTGCAATCGCATGAGAGATGGTGCTTTATTTAGCTTTTATATATTCATACTTTTTACTCCTACTTCTGCAGATGGCTCGGTTGAATGAAGGATTGTCATTATTCGATGCAATCCTTATTGTTCCTATGTTTCAGATTGCTTGGACATTCTTTTCCATTTGTACAGGATTTGTATATTTTCAAGAATACCAGGTCTTCTCTCTCTCTCTCTCTCTCTCTCTCTCTCTCTCTCTCTCTCTCTCTCTCTCTCACCAACATTTTTCTCCTGTGCCTTTGGAATATGTTTCAATTCACGTGGAAATCTTATTCGTTGTTGTTAAAACAGGTATTAAATGCACTAAGGACAACAATGTTCATACTGGGCATGATGTCTGTGTTCGTAGGCATTTCTTTGCTGGCACCTGATGATTCAAAAGGTATTTTGATTGGCTTTTTATTTTTTATTTTTAAGACTTTTAAGTATGCAGAATATCAAGACAGGAACTTACTCAAAATTTTCAGGTGCTGAAGTCAAAGATAATTCATCTTTAGTTTCTGTGATGTCTTCAACCATTCCAAAAGACGCGGGCAGGTACACAATACACTCTTTTACGCAGTTTAAAAAACAATGGAATTTGAATTTTCAAGCTATCTATGTTCTTTTTATGTTCTTATAAATCATCTAGGAAACATTTTAATGATGATTCAATATTCAAGGTTTATAATATATAGATTATAGTGAGTATGCCTTGGCGCAGTGGTATGGCTTGCCGTTAGCAATTTCAAAAAAGGGGTATGGCTGCCTGTGTCTTGGCCTACCCAGACCCTGCTTTGGCAGGAATCTCCTTGCAATAGGCTGTCCTGTCATTCATCATTTTTACACTGTCTTGATATTAATATAATAGAATGAACAAAAAAATATGATGGAGGTTTTTGTATGACCACATATATCAGCGTTCCTTATTTGTTGAACAGTTTTCGTTATATGATTTCACTGTTGTAGCATATTCGTTGGAATCTGAGCTGGATGAATATTCTGTTTGTTTGTGATTTTCACCACTGTTTGATACCGGCGTCTACATTACAGGCTAGCTGTTCCATCTGAAGATGTACAAATTAGAGACACAAGATCATTTGTGCAAGGAATCCTGATGAAGATTTTGGATACAATAGTGAAGGCAAAGGTGCTCTAAACTGGCTTGTTGAACTTGCTTATATATAGATATATGGTATGACTGACTATTGATGACATGAGTTTGCATCCTTTTGCAGACTGCTTGTGCGTTGTCACTTGGATTTGGAGAGGATTCAATCAATGCATCTGCGGTCCTTGTGATGCCCATGGTGTCATCAAAGATAACGGGCTTTAGAGGAAACGGGTTTGACCGGGCAAAGATTTTGTCCATGAAAAATTCTGGTTGGACTAAGATCTCCATGGATGAAGATGCTACAAAGATGCTAGAGACAAGCCCTGTGCTCCCTGAGAGCCCTTGATAGGAGTAGTAAAATGCATTCAATTGGTTATTATTAGGAGGGAATTATATCCATTTTATTGTCTTTTGTAGAAATACAAATGTTTAGGATTCATTATTTTTCCACTTATGGAGGCATTGCTGTTTTCTCAATGAGGTGTAATTCGTCACGCTATTGTATATTCTTACTCGTATATTTGAAAGAAATGAGAGTATCTTGCTTTACGGATGCTTAATTGCGCTAGCTTTCCAAATGTTGAAGTCTAGGACTCTAGCAAGCAGACAACGTTTCGTGGTAGTAAAGACGCGGGAACAACGTTTTACCTATGGACACTGGCAGTGGCGGAGGTAGAGCGTAATGTATGGGAGGGCTACAAGCTTAAAGTTATGAGATTTTTTCTGCAATGCCTATACTCTTCTTCATATAGCTGAGGTGAGAAGATGAGAAAATGAAGAGCTGAGCTGCTAACCAATATAGTACTAATTCAATTCAGTTAACCAATATAATATTTTAATATTATCAATAATGTTAACCAATATAATATTTTAATATTATCAATATTTATTGAGAGCGGTGATCCCACCAGTGTATTTTAATATTATCAATATTCAGAATTGTCCAACTGTTATACAGTATTATATTCAATATTATTTCTTAGAGTACATATAATGAATTCATATCACAGTAATTTTGATTGAGATCTGTCGATCCACTAGTCCACAGTTCTTAGGAAGGAAGAAAGGATTTGGTTGGTCCGACTCTGAGCTAGGTATTCATGGAGCATGGATCAATGGAGTATTCCAGCAGACAACGTTATTGGGTGTTAGAAATCAAACTCGTGTCGTGCAAAGATCTGAAAGCCTTCAACTTCTTTCAGAAACTCTCAATTTATGCGATTGTGTCGCTGAAGGTAATTAGCGATGATGCGGAGAAGAAAGTAAAAGAAGCAGAAGAGCAGATGAATGAAGAGGTAGTAGAGCAACAAATAAAAAAAACACCAACTGATGGGGAAGGAGATGGAAATCCTGAATGGAATCACCAGATGCGGTTTGAGTTTGATCATAAAGATGATCATCGTCAGTTGAAGGATGGACGGCTCTTGATTCACTTTGATCTGCGGCATCAGGGTCTGGGAATATTGGGAATCGGAGACAGAAGTATAGGAGAGGTTCGTGTGCCCTTGAATGATCTGATGATCCCATATATCCCACCGTCGTCGGCGAATAATTCTGGACTTGGACTTGGAGGAGTGCAGCAGCAGCAGGCAAGGTATGTGAATTATCAGGTCCGGACTAGCGATGAAAAACCCAATGGGATGTTGACCTTCTCCTACAAGCTGAAGCTACTCATTAAGGTACTTATACTTTACTGATCATATATTAATAAATAATTTGGTTATATATTAATAAATAATTTGGTTATTCCATTTGGTTTGGACAGGGTGCAGGCACTGATGATCAGCCACGTATTCAATACCCCACAATTACATTGGAAGAAGATGACGATGATGATATTATGCACAAGTTCAACAACACTAGTACACAAGTTGATGATAATAATTCTGATATTACGAGTTCCGGATCCCAGCAGCAGCAGCAGCAGCAGCAGCAGCAGGAATATTATTACACATCAAACATATCATCAGCTGCGCCTGCGCCTGCGCCTGCTCCCGCACATAATAATAATTATTCGCAATCACAATCACAGTTACAAGCTGATCATCAACAAATATGCAGCAGCTGCCTACCACAATATCATCATCCTTATGATCCACCAGTAGCAGTAGCAGGTCATCGCACCTATTATCCACCGCCACCTCCCCCGCCCATGGCAGATCATGGGGCATCTTACCCTTACCACCCTCCTCCACCTGGCTACGGGATGGTCCATCCTCCATGGCCACCCCATCCTTACCATGATTACGGTCCTTGGAGCCCGCCAGCTGGGATTGGACGCCCACATGGACATGGACATGAACATGGGTTTTTTTAATTAGTTTGATGATGTATATGTATAGATTAATACCGGAGAATAGATCGACTTGAAATCCTGGCAGGCCGGGACTGGCTGCCGGAGAGAGTGGTATGGTATGTAATAATATTAACGATGTTCCCAATGGCCCCTCCAATTCACTCACATCCATGCATCAGTGCATATTAATTATAAAAATATAAATTATATTATCTCAATATCTTTCTTAGATGGGAACGGCAGGCAACGTTTAATTCCATCCATCCGATGGCCGTCCTTTTCTTTTGTATCAACCATGCTTGCACTACACAGCTAACGGTCCTCCTACCCTACTCGATCTCGATAGATCTTACCTTTAAATAATGTATTTCTCTAACTAATGGTCCTCACTTCTCATCCTCTCTTCTCCTCTTTACCTTTGAAATGCTGTTGTGCTTGTGCATGCGCGTGCCTTCCTCCGATATATCTCATTCTCTCTCTCTCTCTTCCGTCTTTTTATTTGTCATTTTATCTATTTATCTCATTTTCAGTTTCGCACAAGCCAAAAGTAAAAAACGCATTGTTTCGGAAAAGTAAAAAGAACATTGAAATTTTGAACACAGCCAGACTAAGCAACTGGAGTGTGACAAAATTTGAGTGCTCACGACTTGCGGACCACCAACCTAAACCTAACCTTGGTCAACACCACTGGCCCACACCACACCAACTTATGTAAAACGAAAATATCATTATTTTGTTATCCCGACTAATAACATAATGATACATGAACATATAATTGTGTTATTAACTAAGAATACGCCCTGCCCCACCACAAATGCAAAAACCAAATAATAATTTGGATACATATATTTTTGTCATTACACTAATGGAGCTAAAGTTGCGATATTATTAATCTAGATCGTCCTGTATGATTACGACTCTCGATCGGCTCCCATTTTAATCTTATTTATCAAGATTTCCATTTCCTTAGAAATTAAGATACAAACATACATAGGGATTTTGCAGCTTTTTTTTACTCACTTATGAAATGGAGCCACTTGTCTTTTTTTTTCTGGTCTGATGGAGCCCCTTGTCTTGTGTCTATATATAACTTTAACCGCTTTCGCTTTCACTTTCACTTTCACTTTCGTTATAATATTCTTTATCTTTAATTTCTCTCTTTTCGTTGCTTTTGTTTCTCAAGTCCTCCCACTCTCTCTGTTCCAGAAAATGAGAGAGAGTCCAGACTCCAGACCCAAAAGGAAAAAGAAAAAGAGATGCTTTCTGCCTAGCCATAGTGGACAGTAGAGATAGGACAGGCAACTCGTACCATTGCTATATAAACCCTTGCGCGTACTGCATCTACTCGTTCGTCCAAACTACCTACTTATTATTATTATTATTATATATGTATTGCATTGCATTGTTTACTACTTACCTACAAATCAAGTGCATCAATAGATAAATTTCCGTTTTCTATCTCTCTCTCTCTCTCTCTCTCTCTCTCTCTCTCTCTCTCTCTCTGTGTATTAATCTTAATTAATATTTGAGATTTTCTTTTGTACGCACGTAGAACTTGGTTTGAATTTAGAGTACGAAATTTTAAGCCAGACGTATGCAATTGTATCTCTCCATCCGAATCCCATCGGAGGTTTCTTTTCGTCTCAATTGGGTTGTGGATTGTGCTTTGAGAAATATCAAGGATTAATGCTAGCTAGTATCGCGAGACCAAATTAAGATTGAAAGATGAAGAAGAAAGTATCTGCACTAGTAAAGCAGATAATAGCTGCAGTGAGCTCAATTGCGAAGAATAAAACTCTAGCCCTTAGGAGCAAAACCAGAGCCATAAAGACTCGAATTATTATATTCTCGTTGCTGAACAAGAAGTTTGTGATGAGCTCCATCTCTCACAAGCTCCACGCTTTGCTAGGGCAGCAGCAGCAGCAACACCACTACCCTGAATCTGATGATGATCATCATCAGGAAGATCAAGACCAAAGCAAGGGCAAAGCCGGCGCACTTGTAGTCAACCAAAGCAGCAGCTACAACGATATTATTAATGTTGTCGTGTCCCACGGATCCCACCAGCACCAGCCAGTTGATCTTATTATTAATCCAACTGATGATGATCACATTCACATGACGGCGGATTCGGAGGATAATATTGATATTGATGATGATATTGATCATGGGTACTTGCACAACTTGGTAGAAGATCAAGCTCAAGCTCAAGCTCAAGCTGGGGATCATCACCTTGACGTGGATAGATATTGTGAAGGGGAGGATCAATTCGAATCTGTGATAGATATTGTGAAGAACTCAAAGCAAAAGGCTGGGCAGGAATTCAGTCTGGAAGACGACATAGACCACTTGGCAGACTTGTTCATAAGGAGGTTCCACCGCCAAATCACAATTCAGAAGCAGCGCTCCTTCAAGAGCAAGAGGCACCAGTGAAGGGGGTGACATGGCCGCCACCCACCTATTTTTTCATTATTGTTATTTTTTTGTTAACGGTTGAAAGTAATTTTCCCGTGTATCTCCATCATATCATACGATATCGTATGAACTGGGCCTAGTGGCATTTTCCTCTTGAAGCGTGTGTTTCTTTGTTTGTTTTTACTTAAACTTTTTAATATTCTTTAATATTATTTTAAATATTATTAAGGAGGGCCTGAGTCCAACAGAAAAGAAGTACACAGACAGAAAAAAGGTTGGGCCTAGAGGCCCTACATAGAAGCCGGCCCAACTAAGATGGGAAAGCAATCTTTCTTAAAAACAAACAAACCGGCTCAATCAACACCTTGAATCCGGCCATAGTAGATGAATGAAGCAACCTTTGGTGTTTTCCATTTCCACCAAAGGCCAAAGCGAAGGTATTCCTGTTGATTGCTCTTCTCTTCTTCCTTTTACATATTTTTACTTGATAAAGAGTTGTATTGATTTAATATATGGATGCATGCTGGTTTATTTACTTGATTTTAGATTTAGGGTTTCTATTCTTAATTGTGGTTGAGTTAGTTCTTATGTTGGATTTTGATTTTAGATGCTTTAGGGCTAACCAGTCTAGTAGTACTGCCTGGCTACTACTCACAAAGACAAAGTCCTTGTTTGTGGTTACCCAAATTAAGGTTCTAAACTCTATCTCATGGTTTTGTGATTATTCAATCTATAACATTTGTATGGCTTGTTGGTTTTGTGCTGATATCCTAAATAATCCTTTTGCAATCGTAATATTTTGGGGTTTGCATTGCAGCATCCATGTGATTATCAAGCTTATACAATGGAACACCCAAGCAATGATGACCAATGCAAGAGTTCAGTGGTAGTAACATGTGGGAATCAAGTTACTGGTATTGAATTTGAGCTTTATAATAGTCATGATTCATTGTTGCAATAAAATCATGAATACTTGCACAACCCCTTTATTTTCTTATTTAAGCCCCATTTTTTGCTTACAATTCTCTGATGCTGCAGATAAAGTGAAAGAAAGGTCAAGAGACCAAAGAGAACCTCTTCCAGGGGAGCCTAAATGTGTTATATGTAACCGTTACGGCGAGTATATATGCGATCAGACAGATGATGATATTTGCAGTTTGGAATGTAAACAGACTGTCCTCTGCAGGGTTGCCAACACCCAATTGCCAGTCAACCTACCACCTCCCAAAAGATTAACCGCTACTGATGAGTGCTTTTATGTTCGAGATTCTGGTAGTCAATCAGGATCTGTATTCTTATCTAGTGACCAGACTGAATTGCTTAGAAGCAGACTTGAAATTCATGTGAAGGGAGACTTAGTTCCGCCACCTATCTTGTCCTTCTCTTCATGTAATTTTCCTCAAAAGCTCCTCCAAAATATAGAGGCTGCAGGTTTTGAAATGCCAACACCTGTCCAAATGCAAGCAATCCCAGCTGCTTTGAGTGGAAAAAGTTTGCTTGTGTCTGCTGAAACAGGGTCTGGGAAAACGGCTTCCTTCCTGGTTCCAATTGTTTATCTTTGTGCAAATTTTCGCTTTGAGCAGTTTAGAGACCGGAAAAAGCCGTTAGCAATGGTTCTAACACCAACCAGAGAGCTCTGTATACAAGTTGAGGAGCAAGCTAAGTTGCTCGGAAAGGGTTTGCCTTTTAAAACAGCACTTGTGGTTGGTGGTGATGCAATGGCCAGACAACTTCACCGCATTCAGCAAGGAGTGGAGCTCATCGTGGGAACTCCAGGCAGGCTAATTGATCTTTTAACGAAGAATGATATACAACTGGATGATGTAAAGATTTTTGCTCTTGATGAGGTGGACTGCATGTTTCAAAGGGGATTCCGAGATCAGGTAATGCAGATATTTAGGGCTCTATCACAACCCCAGGTTTTACTGTATTCTGCAACGGTCTCCCAAGATATAGAGAATATGGTAAGCTCTATGGCAAAGGATGTTGCTGTAGTCTCCGTTGGCAAGCCCAACAGGCCAAATAAGGTTGTGAAGCAACTACCTATCTGGGTCGAGTCGAAGCAAAAGAAGCAAAAGCTGTTTGACATATTGATGAGCAAGCAGCATTTTATGCCACCTGTGGTGGTTTATGTGGGATCAAGACTGGGGGCCGATCTCTTATCTAATGCAATTACAGTCACCGTTGGAGTGAAAGCTTTATCAATCCATGGGGAGAAATCCATGAAGGAGAGGAGAGATATAATGAGGTCATTTTTAATGGGTGAGGTTCCTGTTATTGTAGCCACTGGGATTTTAGGCCGTGGAGTAGATCTCGTGGGTGTAAGACAGGTAATTCTGTTTGACATGCCCAATTCCATGAAAGAGTATGTCCATCAGATTGGTAGGGCATCTAGACTGGGAGAAGAGGGTACAGCAATTGTGTTTGTAAGTGAGGAGAATAAGAACTTGTTTCCAGATTTGGTTGAGATTCTAAGATCTTCTGGTGCAGCTATACCCCGGGAGCTTGTTAATTCACGGTATATGACAGTGACACGCCCATACTCCAAAGGCGGAGGCCAGAAAAAGAGGAAGCATGAATGAAATTTCCTAATGTTCTAGTCCGTATCTGGATAAGTGTGCTAAAGGCAAAGAATAGTTTTCCCTGAATTCAGGGCATGGTTAAGTTGTTATGTACATACAAAAGAAAGAGAAATGAAAATGACTCTGTCATTCATGCTAATTCAAAATGAAAATAAAAAAATTCTTGTA